GGTCAAGATTGTGATTTAAAAGGGTTGATAAAATAGTAAGCGGTAACAAAAAAACATTTTTACAACATCTTACTGACGTATTAAACATTTCACTCGGAATATTTTTAAGCAATACTTCTTCTTACAAATCCGACAACTAGCTGCTTTACAACAGTCTTCAAAGAAATGATCCTTCTTGCACAAAACTGCGAATGTCTATATATCATCTGTGTCACCTGAAATCCCGTTGATCGCCAAGTGACTCGAGCGGGCACCAGTAAATCTTCCATTTTTCCCTGTGGCGTGCAAGAGCAGCCCAGTGGATTCAGCCCTCTCTACGGACTCGTCGAGCATCATATCTTCCTTCTAGGCTCTTCATGAAGAACTCTGACCACCGGGTCGGTGTTCTTCCTGCAGTACGTTTGACATCCCGAGGAATCCAGTCACTAACGGCTCTTGTCCATCGGTTGCCATTCATGCGCATTCCGTTTCCGGCCCACCTTATCTTCGACCAGGCTTCTGACGCATACGTTAGAGCAGGAAGCACCGTTGAGTCGAAAAGGTGGGCTGTGGTGTTCTTTGTACTGTTCACTACATCCTCGACGCTCTTAAAAGCTCCCCAAGCCGCTCGTTTCCTTTTGCTCAGCCCAGGAGCTAAGTCGTTAATCATATTGATTTTCCGACCTAGACAGACATAACTGGAGCATTCGGAGATATTCGTTCCGTTGAGCGTGAATGCAGCATACGAAACCAATCCGTTCTTCATGAACAAAAGACAAAAAGACAAGACAAAAGAAAGAAAGAAAGAAAGAAATGTCGAAAGATTTGAAAGATTTGTCGAAAGACAATCTTTCCCTAGGCTTTATGGAAGTTGGCAAGCATACGTTCCGCTTGACTAATGTATGGTGTTATAAGGACAATGTCATCAGCAAATCGAAGATAGTGTAACTGCCGACCAACGATTTTCACTCCCATGTTATCCCACTCATGTTCAATGTTCGCATAACGTTCTCGAGACTGGCGGTGAATAATTTTTGAGATGGTCTCGCCTTATCAACCCCCTCTTTTGACATTGATTTTAATATTGTTGTGAAATAGCGATAACTTGGTTTAAAAACCTTTGTACAGCTCAAGAATCTTTATGTACTGAGTGGGGATTCCTTGACTATCAAGGGCTTCCGCGACTTCCTCAATCTCAATTGAATCAAAGGCCTTCTGTAAATCGATGAAACTGGGACAGAACGGTCTTTTGTACTCTCACGATACTTAAATGACCCTTCTTATCGTATGGATGTGGTGCATCGTACTAAATCCTTTTCGAAACCCTGCTTGCTCACATCGCTGTCCTTCGTCTAGTGTTCTGTCAATCCTGTTTAGGATGACTCAAGTTAAAAGTTTGTAGACAACAGACTGTAAGCAGATTGGGCGATAGTTACCGATATCGTGTAGGTCACACTTCTTGAACAATAACACGGTCTTGCTGGTCTTCCACTGAGTAGGGACCTTGCATTCAGGCAGGCAAAGTGTGAACAGCCGAGCCAGTCTGTTTACGAGGACTGGCGGAAGGTTCTTCAGGTGTTCTGGTCTTATCTTGTCTGAACCTGGTGCTATTCGATTTTTCATCGGCAAAATAGCATGTCGGATTTTGGAAGGGAGAACCGGTGGTACAACATATCCATCCTCCTTTGTTTCATATGATTGAAGGTGGACGTGACTATCGAAAAGATCTGAGTAGTATTTGTGAACGATTTTCTCCATTGCCTTTCTGGACGCTGCAACTGTTCCGTCTGGGCGCCGAGTGCAATCATTTGTCTTATATTTGGCGAAGCTTTGGTGGGCCTTACGAATGCTTCTCCCAGCCTCTGCAGCGTCAACCATTACTGCTCCTCTTCTCTCTTTAAGATCTTCTTTTATCGCCTGTCTGCATAGTTTTACAAATTCGGACAATAATTGGCAGTTGCCTGCAGTTCATGCGGTTCCACACTGATGTATCAGCTCGAGTGTTTCTGGCGACAGATGTCTCTTGCTGGTTTTCGAACTATCTGCTTTCATAGCGATAACGTGAAGATGTTGAATGAGCAGATCGTACTCTTTGCCGATGTTATGGACAACGGCATCTTCCTAACGGCTGAATAATGAATTGAATAAGTCTCAGTTTACCGTGGTTCAGGAACTTCGATTTTTAAATTTAGCGGGTTTTTCGCCTTTCCGCGAGAAGTGGAATCTTGCGCGAAGGAGGCGGTGGTCTGATCCCGATTTTGAATTTTTGAAATTTAGGACAACAGCGACATCGGGTTAGGCAAAACCTATTCACTGTGATGTGGTCTATTTCGTTAAGGTACTCTCCATTGGGAACCTCCCACTTCCAGCGTTGAGGGTGCCGGTTCTGGAATTGCGAGTTACCATGGATACTCTTGGTTGCCATGATAAACTGACCCTGTTCGTTCTATTCTAATCGATGGGTCACATGCCTATATATAATGGACTTTTTTTGTACAGAATTTAAAGCACTTACAACAGTATACGAAATATATTTTCAAGTGAAACCCGTAGTCAATCACATACAATATACAGTTCAAAGATAGAACTTAAATTTATTCCATAATAACTCTTCCTCTTCCATTCAAACTACATTTCGTATAACAACATTAACCAACAACAAAACGATCTAATAAAATTTTTCCTACGTTAATAGACCTCTAACGAACATTTTTGCACATCTTGTCGCAAAGCTGGAATCACCATACTTAACTTCGCATAATAGCAAGCTCAACACACTCCCCAGGTGTTAACCTTTGGTTGTCGGGCCAGTAAAGGTGTGTACATCTAAAGTATAGGTAAAACTAAATATGCCAAAACAATGGAAATGCGAAACATGCGCAGCATTTACTAGATGCTACACACTTCCAAATAAGCTTCCCCTAAAAGTCGTGCGCTCTAAAATAAATGTTTCTGAGTTAAACGTTTAAAACATCGGTGATAAGAGATGTAGTAAGAGATGGGAATGCGCTTTTTTTCCAAAGGATGTAGTTTGCGCAGTGATAAGTGCTCCATTAAAAGAATCACAGGCTTCCTGTTTATTGCAGCATCCTCGGTTTTGTGCCATCTTTTCGTAGGATAAACTACCCCTAAGGTCTAAACTTTACGTCGAAGTGGCAACAGATCCGCTGTGAAATTCAAGCAGATGGGCCAACTAATTCGAAACTACAACAGAGCATACTTTTATGCTAGTACAGCGCAATGAGAACACCTAACTATGGGGCAGACCCATTGCATAAATCTGTGTTCGTCAAGCTTTCTAGTGGCTGCAAAAGTCTGGCAGAATACCTTTGTGCGCACAATTAGGTCGCCACAACCGTGCTCATTAAAATCAAGATATACTATCCGAAACGAACAGAAGCGCACACATTTAAATCATTACGTCAGTACATTTAGTCATGAGAGGACTAACAAAAATAAAAGCCAAGCTAAAAAATCATGATGTTGGCAGGGGTTGAATAGCGTCACATAAGGACGAAAATGAGTTTTACTGCGTTGGTAGCCGACGAAAAATTGCTCGTATACGGTTCGGGTAGACACTACACACAACGAAGCGGCGTTTCGGGCTATGTTTAATAGTGTGGTTTTGCACAGCCTCTCATTGCACTTATATGTACCGAACTAGACACTCAGAGCTATACAAGACAAGAGTCAGCGCGTTAGTGCTGGTTCAGTTGGCGCCACAGGATGTGTCGGAGGAAATAGTGTGGGCCCAGGAGTTTATTATTATGCCTGATTATAATCATGAACAACATGGAAATGTGTTTACGTGAACCAAGAAGCTGTATCATATCCAGCTTCTAGACTAGTGGCCGGTAATTCGCAAGGCAACGCAGCGCGTCCCCAATCGGCGGATTGGGGCTAGTCGCGGACCAAAAGCGACTCTTGATTCCCTGAGACGCAGATAGATCTAGGAATGGACTCTCTGTTCGTGCTGCCATTATTTGGCACATACCTTCTCTATTTGCGAAGGCATGCGTACGTGGATGTGTTCTCGTTTATGCGAATTGAATTCTACGAGTCAGTTCGACCAAAAGCCAACAGGCACGCGACAGGGAAGTACATGGAAGGCGGTTAATAGTCGCCTCCAACAAGTAAGCTGGCAAGCTACCAGTGAAGATTTCGATCCCCCACGTTCAGAGCTTAAAAAGCTATACGTGGGTATCAAAAAGTTAATCACAGAAAAATAAACAGGCCTTGTTTTCTTCACCCAGAAAGTGCCCACGATTCAGCTGCACTGGATAGGACGAGTACGGAGAAGTGCTAAAATTTCAGGGCCATTCTAGGCTGCTTAAATCGCAAAGGACTAAGGCTTCTTTTCCAAGAACTATTTGTAGCTACACTGCACGCTACTTTCGCCTGAATCCTCGAAAGATTTGATCATACAGGCAAGGAGGGTACAGCTTCGTCAGATCACCCGAGAGAAGACGACGCCACCTATTCAAAGACGTCCACGAAAGCGTAGAACTGCTCCTCAGAAAATGCGATAGATGAGGAGTTAGCGGCATCGGCGTTCTCGTCAACAAGAGTTTGGCCATGAACATCGACTCATTCGAAATCCTACCAACTCGAATCGGCCTCTTGAATGCTGAAGCGATGTAGATCGATATCGACTTTGACAATCTTCGTAGTTTACGCACCGACATCAAGCAATGCCGAGGAAAAAGTCGAGGCGTAGTATATGGAATTAAAGACATCCTACAGAGAAAACCATATATTCTTCAAGCTCATTATTAGAGCTTTTAACGCTAAGAATGGACCAATAACGAATTAGACCATATCGAAGGCTTTGCACACCAGATGTTGCTGTTGTCCCAAAATTCAACACTAGATCAGACTTTCGCATCCTTCGTGCAAGATTCCATTTCTCGCGGAAAAGAGAAAAACCAACTAAATTCAAAAAACAAATTTCCAAAACCACCGTAAACCGGAATTTATCCAGTTCATCAGTCGACCATTGGGAATATGCCGTTCTCGATAACATGGACATAGAATACGATTGGCTCACTCATCATCTTCACGCTTGCGCTATCAAAGGTGGGTGTTCGAAACTCACCAAGAAACGCTTGACTCCAGAAACACTCGAGCTGAAAGGCCAGCATGGATTTGCGCGATCTGCAGGCAACCGTCAACTCTCGTTCTCGTCCGAACTTGCAAAACAATGCAGACAAATGATAAAAGAAGGTCTTATAAAGATAATAGCAGCAGTGGTAGTCGAAGCAGCAGAACCCGGAAAGAGCACTCACAAACTCACCGAATGATCGCCAGCTACGAGACGGAATAGTTACAACTTCGAAAGAGACAATGGAAAAAATCATTTACTATTACTACTCAGATCTTTTCATTAGCCACATGCTCATAGCCTTATATAGAATAAAGCAGGACGGCTGCGTTGCACCACCGGTTCCATCTTCCAAAATTCGACGTGCAACTTCGTCGGTGAAAAAACGAACAACACGAAGACTGGACGGAATAATATCCGAAGACCTAGCGAATATTCCACTTGTCCTCATAAACACACTTTTTCGGCTCTTCACACGTTACCTGTCTGAATGCAAGGTACAGTGGAAGACCAGCAAGACCATACTATTGTTCAGGAAAGACGACCTCCACGATATCCGGAACAATAGTCCAATCCTGTTGTTGTCTGTCGTCAACAAACTTTTCGGTCCAGTCATCACAAACAGGACTGTTAGAACACTGGACGATGGAGAGCCATATGAGCAAGCAGGGCGTCGAAAAGGATTTGCTACGATGGACCACATCTACATGATAGCAAAACTCAATGAATTATCGCGAGAGTACAAAAGATCGCTCTGCCTCACTTTCATCAATTTAAAGAAAGCTTGTGAATTTAATGAGACAGGAGCAATCACACAAACTCTGGACAACAAGAGTGTCCTTACTTAGTAGATAAACATTTTTCGCCAGCTACATAAAAATTTCACAACGAAAATATCACCACTCTACAACGATGTTAAAGTAGTCTTCAAAACAGGGGTTATGTTTCCCGCCACCCTCGAGTACGTTATGAGACGTTATAGTGAGATAACATTGGGGTGGAAATTGATGGCCAGCAAACACACCAACTTCGCTTTGCTGATGATATCGTTCTTATTACACCAAACATTAGCTAGGCGGAACGAATATTTGCCGACTTTGATAAGGCATGTAGAAAGATAGGTCTACCACCAAAACTTTCAAAAATGTTGGTTATTTAGAACGAATTGGTTACGCATGCCCCATTCACACTTAACGACATGGATAACTCCGAACGTCCCAATTTCGTTTATCTAGGTTGGGAAGTTAAATTGGTGAACGACTTAGCTCGAAGCTTTCGACGTGATCAAGTATGTAATCAGGAAAACAATAAACGTCAGATTCTGTGCCAATCTTTTCGACTCCACTATTCTTCCTCCCCTATCATATGCGTTAGAAACCTGATTGCTGCGAAAGTAGAATGAAAGGTCACTCAATGTTATTGAATGTGCAGCCGAAAGGACGATGTTAGGAGTTTCCCTTGTCACACAACCAAGGGAAAGAACCTGAAGCTCCGACCTGCGTCAAGGGTCAAAGATCAAAGAAGCCGTTCTACTCGCCAAATAGTTGAAGATAAGGTGGGCCGGGCACGTAATGCGTATGAACGACAACCGATGGAGAAGAGCCGTTAGTGACTAGATTCTTCGGGATGTCAAACGCCCAGCAAGATAACCACTAACTCGATGCTCAGAGTTCTTCGCTAACAGCCTAGGAGAAAGGCATGTTGCTCATCTAATTCCAAGGATTAGCAGAACCCAGTGAACTACTCTAGAACGCGACAGGGAAGAACGGAAGCTTCACTGGCGCCCACTCGATTAACTCCACCATCAAGGGAACTACAGGTTGTACAGTTGATTACTTCCTTGAACTGGCTATAGAGCGCCTTAATTTCACTCCTGTCGGCTGCATAAGTTGGTGAGTAGCATGATGGTGAGCTTCTTTTGATGAAAATGTTGGAGATGAAAAATGATCAAACGTCATAATAGGTTCCTTTGTGAGGTAATCTGTTGCGAAACAGATGGGTGTAGGACAAAACTAACGTTCACGACGCTTCGAAACGGGAATTACTTCCACGAATAACAAAGGATTCCTTCATCTAATATATGTATGTCAGTCCTCCTACATTTCCTGTCTTCTAAGGCGATCACATTTAATTTGAACTGAACTGCGCCGATGTCTGAAGAGATCGTTCAGGTGTTATAGATGCAGAGCTAGAAGCAGTCACCATGAGGCGTCGTGAGGGTGCTTACTAGGGCCGTTTTCAATCACGAGGATTTTTTTTTAGAAGTTCGGCTTTCGTATTACTGCACACTTTCGCCCCAGTTCCACTTAATGGTTAAACTTTTAAGTGATCATTTTAAAGTAGTTTTTACAGTTTTATATTCAAAAAAAGCAATCACCTATATCAGCTGTATCACCTGTCGCCCCATTGATTGTTGAGTAACCCGAGCGGGCGATAGTAAATTTTTCCAGTCACGCAAGAGTGGCCAAGTGGGTTCTGCTCGCTCTAGGGAGCCATTGAGCCGCATATCTTTCTTCTAGGGTTTTCGTGAAGCACTCTATCCAGAGTGATTTTGTTCGTATTTTTTTGAGCAAACGCGAGGTGTTATTGTTCTTTGTTCACGATTAAGCTGACGTTTCGGCGAATTTCGCCTTCTTCAGAGCCTGGAAAGGTCAAGTTGATAGCAACTCACTCGGCCAGACGCCTCCATAACCAAACAAAGAAGCTCTAAACCAAGATTTCAATCACATTGAACACAGCTTTGCACACTCACCGCTTTCTATGAGGTCTCCACTAAGTATGTCACGTAGAGACCAACCGCACAGAAATCACGTGGAAGTATAATGTGCCCCTCACATCAGAAAAGCAAGAGTATCCTCTATCCAGAGTATGTTGTCTTCCTGCTGTGTGTATGACATCCCGAGAAATTCACTCACTAACGGCGACAGGGGTCCATCGCTTGTCACACATACGCATTACGTGCACGGCCCACCTGATCCTCGGTAGTAAACAAAGCAACAAAAATGCGGGCCAGTATGTAGTGCCTTTCAAATAATTCAGCTTATTAAATTAAGCTTTGCTTTATCTTCAGGGCACATTTTGACTCTCCCTTGTATCTGCAATGCAATGTAGAAGCGCTCCACATCCGCGCATACCGTACCTTTTGTGGAGAGTGCTGTGCACTATGATCATTTTAGTTCCTATGTTATGAGTACAATTTTTTGCGTGGTTGAATCTTAATCCCACATCTATTCCTAGCAACAGAGCGCTAAGAAAACTGTTGAGTTGAGCAGGTGAGCGCGGTGTTGTCGGTACGCTAGTTGGACGGCGGCTTCTTTGAGAGGTCCGAATACACCCTATGCTGCTATCACTCTTCTGTTAGACGAGAGTGCCCAGCGAGTAGAGTGGCGAATCTGCTTTATTGCTATTTGATCTATTTATAGTTTCGTGGAGTCCCAACATTGACTGGTACCTCACTTGGGTCGTCGCAACATGCAGTCGTTGGCCATTGTGGATCAGAAGGAGTTTTGCAACCTTTCGAATAATTTAATTCAAGAACGGTGTTGATTTCCGTGATTGACTAAACTTCAGCTGAGCTTCCGTACAAAGAAGTCGGACGCACTCTTAGCTTAAAAAACTTTACTTGCGGATAAACCCCGCTGTTGATCGCAGTTCGAAACCTATGAACATCCCCAGCCACGAGAAAGCGGTGTGCCATTGTGGGATGAATATACCCGAATCCGTGTTGCACTCCTCAAGCACTATCATATTTATGCCATAGCAGCATTCAAGGTTTTGTCGATTACCCCTTAATGTTCTCTAAATGAAGAACATGCAAGTCTCGTTGCTGTCACACTCGAATCCTCGTTCAACTGACGTAGGCATCGTCAATGAGAAAACAAACGACTTGTATAATGGAGGTTTAAGAATCTGTAAGAGTGGTTTTCTTGGTGAGAATGTTTGGAGATAATAATAATGATAAACTAGTTGACACGAAGAAAAAGTCTTATCCTAGAGAAGTTTATAGCAACTTCTTCTGGACTGAGTCAAAACCAGCGGATCGGAATTTAGATATTATTACAATAATTGCTAATGCAATAAACTGCAAATGACAGTGAAAATGGGGTACTAGAACTTCTACTTTTGTATAATTTTAATGTTTTCTTAACCACACTGTATTTCATGGTTATGTAGATGTGTGGTGTGTTATCTGGCACTTACATGCAAGCGTATTTGCTTTCGATAAGATTAGAAACAGATGGAGTGCACTCCTCAATGACTTCGTGATATATAGCTTATTTTGTACCACTTTTTAATCTGTTTTATTGTGAATGTACTTTGCTTCCGAAAGAAGCATAAATTTAGCCCATACATAGGAGTATATTCTTCCTTGTATATAAAATTCCTGTATAATTCGCTTCTTTCTAGAAGGGTTTCTATGGGTGTGCATCTCCTAGAAAATCCTTAATGATTTTCCAAAATGGGTTTAGTTTGCTTAAAAAGTTTTTCCTTTCAACGGTTTACCGCTTCACCAGGGATGGGAGGTGTTCCTGAGTGGCGGGCTGCGATGTACAGCGGAGGAATTCATTCTCCCGGCAGGGCCTTACAAGCTGGGAAGTCCTGCCTGGTATCAAACTAGTCGCATGGTGGCGAATTTCCCTCTGATCCATAAGGGCCGCGACTGCCTGTGGTGATGACGACCTGGGGAACTTCAGGAAACCACAATGGCTAAATCATAGAAACTCTGAAAAAATGGAGACTATGCTGGGTTTTGCACAATCAGTGAGGACAGGCTATCCAAGTATCCAAGCATCCAAGTGAAACTGTTTTGCTGCTCAAAGGTGCTAGTAATTGCTACTTTTTATCTTATTTATCCCTTAAAACCATTCTGCTCTCGATTGAATAGTCAAATAGTTCAAGTCTCCATAGAATCTATCTTGGCAACTAGTCTCGTTGTGCTCTATTAATAAAAAATATACTTTGCCTTTATTTGAAAAAAGTGAGAGCAGCATATTTCGTTTAGTTAATATGGTAATTCTGAGAGCGCTTCTAGCGCAGTGGTCAGAGGTGACCTGCTATACACATGGGATCGATTCCCGCACCTCAGACTGACGAAGCATTCCATTGCTCCAGAGTCTGCAAATTGGTACCAAATTTGTCAGGGAAGATAGCAGCACTGGCTCGATACATCGAAAGGCCACCTCGAGTCATTTAAAGGCCAGATATGCATTCAATCTCCTCCAACAATGTTCAACGAAGTCGATTGCATGGCGCATCCCTCAGGGATTGATCAACGCCGAGAGCTTTATCCTTTATTTATTTTAATGCGGTACTTATATGTACTACTAAAAGGTCTAATCTTAAATGATTCTTACACCAAACTTTGTCGGTCTGCTATCAACAGATTTCTTCGCAAAATTGAAAATAACTACTCAATTTGATAAATTGTTATAAATCAGCGACTACTATGACTTCGTCGGATTTTCTAAATGGCAGATTTTTCAACTCTATTTTTTTAAAACGCTCAATTACTTCAATTACTGATAAGAAATTCACTGTTAAACCGTGAAAACTACTGAAATAAAGTTTTCGCTTATTTCATTTAGGATTTTTTTTCTATTTCTTGTAATCCCTTGCATTAGCTTTAGAATTCAACCCAACTTTTGTCTTTTCTTTACAATTGTAATTTAAGATATTTTCAACATTCTCTGCTTATTTTCATAAGCGTCACCTATTAAAACTTTTAACTTATAGAAATAAGCCTGCCCTCAATCTCTAAGGTAGCAATTCCAGATGCGGCTAACACTTATTTTATCGATAGCAACTGTGTTTTCAACGGAAACGCTTGAGCAAAACGGTGATATCACTGCACTGATTCAGGTTTGCTTTTGCACTGCAAATAAATGGAAAAATAATCCTTGGAGCAAATAATAATGTACAAAAATCTGCATAATTCATTTGTATTAAAATATTAGCTTCGTTCGTCTACTTAAAGCTTAATGTTACAGTCGATGTTGAACGTGGATCGAGCCCTAGAAGAAGAGATAAAAGACGACATATTACGGGCAAAGTATATTACAACACTACTTTGTTATGACCTTAATTTAAGACCTTTAACCAGTCATGGTGAAAATGTAACTTTTCAGGAAACAGCAGAATCAAATAAGTGATGAATTATTAAGTGGCTTGAACAAATCAGTGAACACACTCAAAGATGCTCTCAGCGAACAGTTTTCCAAGCTTCAAGATTATCAACAGGTCAGTTAAGGAATACTCTGTTATGTCTAATAAGCTCAAGTAGGATTACATCTAATATGCCTAATTAAATGATTTGTGCTAAAGGTGAATATGAGATGTTTAAGTAAACACAGATCAGAAACAGACGGAATTTGTTTTTAGGTGTGTTTCTGCGTGTAATTGTAAATTATATTTAAGGCCTACAAAGCAAAAGTTCGCAGTCGTAAGCAAGAGATATTAGCCGAATGGAAGGCTATTGTCGACGAGATAACTAACGCAAGAGTAGCCTGGGAAGCGCAAGAAGAAGTCGAAGCCGAAAAGGAGAAAGAGGTATTAACTCACAAATATTTTGACAGATGTTAAAAAGTTATTTGAAATGCTATTATATCACTGAAGCAAAGTGTCAAATCCTCAACATTATTTAAGCTGTCATCATGCACTTTTGTTGTAAAAATTTCGATGGGTTTAAAAGGAAACTAACCATTGTCGGTTTCTGAATCATTTCTCAAAAGCATAGGAAAAGGTATTCCAACATAATTAAATACATTGTTCGCATACCTCACGCAGACAAATAAACGTCTACCGTTATTCTAAGGGAATCAAGAGGTTAAGCTAGACTAACATGCTAGCGCCGGCATGCATTGAACTCGATACATTGAAAACCAGAATTAGTTGTTCGTTTCATTTTTAAGCAACACATCTCAGCGTGCATTCAGTGAAATTATCAAGTGAAATAGAATTCACTATTAAAGGAAGCCATCAACAAACAACAAACAAAACAAAATTTGCCAGCAAAATTCAACCTTTCTGATTTTGCTATGGTAAAATTGTGCCTCCTTGGAGCACGATTTTTCCGATTTATGGGATTAATTGAGCTGGATTTTGTTTAGCACGAAGTGATCCTGTAAAGGTATGTACCGTTTACGTTGATGACTACCGCGTTCTCTTGCTCTAGTCAACGGTCTTATTTATCGGAAACTCGTCAATGGTTATCGAAAACCTGAAAGAGCCTTGCAAGCGAAAAATAATGAAGAAGTTAATTCAGTGAATTACTGAAGGAAACATGGGTTAATATGTGCTGAATTGTTGGTTGAGCATATATGAAAAACGTAATAAATCGGTTTATTTAAGAGTGCTTTCCTATTTAATGACAGATTATTTAGGACATTCATAAACTTCTAGATCAACTTAGGATGGCTAATGAAAAAAGAAGAGAGCAAAAAGTAGTCGAGAAAGAAGAGAAAAAAGAGGTACGTGGTAAATATGACGCTAATTACAGTAGGCATATCTGTTTCCTCCTCCTTTCAGCAATTTAAGGAGGCGTGGCAGAAGGTGAAAACGAAACTCGACGAACTCCAGCTTAAACTCACTGATGCCGTAAATGCCACAAAAGAAGCTCGAAAAGAAGTAAACTGCTAATAGTATATTAACACAGATGAATTTTTTATTAAAATAATGTTAAGATGGTGGAGAGTATGAGGTCGACACTTTTCGAAATCAAGACGATACTTGAGGAACAGAAAAGAAATCGTGACCAGATGATGCAGGAACGACGGAACAAATACCAGAGCGCACTAAATCAGGTTAAAAGTGGTATAATTGTAAGTTCATGCACACTTGTTAGTAGTAATGTAGTAAATGTGCGGGATATGTGCGCTGCCGAAATGGATATGGTTCTACCTGTTGCATGAACCTTCCACACGTAGCGGTTCAATTATTAAAAAAAATTACTACTGTTCAATGCACAAACGCCGAAAGTATTGTGCTTATTACAGTCGATAGAACGACTATTAAAGACATTTTGACAGCATCAACAACTGAAAATGCACTTTCAGGCTCAGAAGGACGACATCGACGCACTTGAAGAAGAACTAAATCAAAAGTATGCACAACTCAAGCAAAAACAAAGAACTCTTAAACATACAATACAAGTGAGAGCCGAGATATTAATTCTACAATTAACATATATGTGTAATCTGAGGTGCGTATAGCGTATTGGTAATAGACGCCCTGCAATGCACATGGATTCGATCCCGCGCTCAAGGCTCACCAAACCTGTCGTCCCTCCGAGTTCGGTAACTTGGTACCGAACTTTTCTAGCTGGACAGCAGCACTGACTGACTTGGTGCACCGCTAAGCCACTGGATGTCAATGTTTAGGCCAGTTATGCGTAAAATAACCTCTACGATGCTCAGTGAAGTCGAAGGAATGACCCATCTCTCAGGAATTGATCAACGTCGTGAGGTTCATCCTTTTACATGCATTCTGTCCCATCAAAGTTTGTAGTATCCAGAACCAGTACAGTAGTTCCGCTCAAAGTAGAAATCTAAGGTTAGCTTTCATACGCGAAACAAAGCAGTGGATATACTGTCTGTTGCGCTGGATGTCCTGAAAGAGAGCATGGAATATCTTATTGAGAAGCCTATAGTTGTTCCGTGCTTTTCTGAGATGGTTTCAAAACTTGCTTTTCAATTGCTTATTTTTGCGATGTAGTTAAATTTTGTAGTTTGTAATTTTTTCGATACAGTTGAAACCTAGTGTATTTTGTACCACTGATCTGCCACCTTCTCGACGGCTGATGACAGAGTAGTGCACGTTTCGATGCTAATGGGCGCTTTTTCGTGGTAGAGATTGGCCGCGTCAGATGATGAACATGATTGAGTTCTATAACTCTACTATATGATTTATAGAGCAGAAGTCTTGTTGCGATCCTGTTTTCTTAATTTAGACTTCCACCTGTGTCTTTGCCATATGCAACATTGTGAAGAACTAGTAGAGCACACTTAACACAAAACGAACATCACCTTGGCGGCGAAGACCTTGTCGGCAACTCATTTCTGAAAGGTTCACTCAGTAGGACTTTCTACAATGTTTTAGGAACCTATTATAACTTGTGTTTTTTCGACAACCGTAGTAGGCATTTCGACAAAGAAAGCAATCTCTCTCAGGAGTTTCAATGAATTTCTATGAAATTTTCCCACATTCGCAGATGTGCTTCTAGATTAAAACCTCGCTTGCTCAATCACCTCACTATATAAGATGCAATCCTAAGTAAAAAAACCGAAAAAAATTTTAGATTTTAGAGAATTGCGATTTTGTCATGTGCTAAGATCTGTGACTTTCTAGCAAAGATCTACAAGCTATTTATAAGTTTCGAAAAAAATTATTTCATTACTAAAGTGTGGTACGCGCTGAGATATGCCTATTTAAACTTAAAACGTGCATAGTTGTTGTATTGATGTGCGTTCAAATCAGTGTTCCCTATTCTTGCAGAGCAGCTAACATGATGAAGAGGTAAATAATCTGGATGTAGGTGAGGGAATAGGGTAACTATATGCGTAAAATGGAAGACATTAGAAGTAGGCCATTGTGCAGGTTCGAGATAAATCACCAAGGCAAACAGAATTTTTTACGAAGCCAAAGCAAAAAGCGTATTTTGATTTCAAATCAGTCAATGTCACCTGAAATATTTCTATAGAAATAAACCACTTAGTCGCCTTATTCCTTTACCGAGTTCTTCAGAAATTAATAGCGCCTTTCTGCCCATATTTCCAAGGCGTCATATCTCAAGTCGGAATAAGTTGATTAATCGAAATGAAAGCCGCTAGAATCTGCGCATTTCTTCCGACAAGAAACAAACTTATTTATAACGCCTGTTTACAATTGTGAACTTTTGGAGGCGGCGAATCATTGAAGGTAATTTCAGCTTCTGCTTGGTTTTTTTTTCTCGCCTGCAGGCGAAATTCTCACAAGTTCGTGGTCCAGCTTGTTCAATATTTGCAACGTCAGCTATACAACACGTCACCACGTATTTTTGTGATGAGGAAGGAATAGTCGCATTATATTGACCACTGAGAGGCGCAGAGGTTGAAGTTTCCGGTTCACTCGGGAACATGCGCTATATTTCTCCTTCGTAACAGTTGTATTTGAAGAAGACAGAATGGAGTTAAACCAGGTGCAGACCATCAAACACAGTAAACAGACATCTTACTTGGGTACGACTTCGGCTTTGCGAAGCTGCGCATATTCATCACGGTCCAACTCAGAGCATCCATTTTTTTTCGCGCGTAACTGATACGATCGAGAACTGGGTCGTTCTGGTTGCACAGACAAAGTTTACGATGCCTTGAAGCGGAACTTCCTTTATTTTGCTTATTTTATTATTTTTCACTGTCATTCAATTCGTAGGGCACCCACTTGTCTAGCTTCTTTAATTTTCCATTTTTTCCAGGTGCTCTGATGCACCTGTGCTTTTTGCATCTGGATCGTTTGAAAGTTTTCGATCACTTGTGCCTGTACTTTTTTTTCACCAAAGCTTTGAATTTTTCGTGTTCGGTGGCAGAAGAATATTTGCAGCCTTACTCATCTTTAAGGTTGAATTCACCACAAAATTACTTTTTGATTCAGCCTTGCACTGTGCATTCGCTAACATTTCTTGTCTTCACAACTCATAATGTTCCAAGCCGTTTTCCTTGTGTACGTCCGAACTTGAATTACTAGGAGTAGATCTGTCGAAATTGCACTTTCGACTCTCAAATTCTGCCCTTTAAATTTGTCTAAATTATAATCCATATTCGAATTAAAGTTAGAACAAAGTGCACAAAATAACCTTTCCAATGATAGGTAGTGGTACAAGTACCAAAAAGGGAAGTGTTTACAAACTTCTTCAATAAAAATAACACAAATGCGGCATCAATTTTGGATCAACCTGTTCTAAAAAAATTGACGCTGCACCACCATCCAGTGAATTTTTATCATACCAAGTTTGGACAATGATGAATGCGATGCCACACTGGAAAAATTGGAAATTTTGACAAAGTACATACGTGTTAACATTTTCGACAAGAAAGCGAGCATGGGTTTTATGCAATGAAAGAGCCTTTTTGGTCGTTGATCATACATTGTAAAAGTATACCGAAAAATATCTTTAAACTAGTTCTGGAATTTCTGCTGTGATTATTGTATGGTAAGCATACAAAAAGTTTTGTGTAATACCGATCTGTTCACAGTAATGAGAGCACGGAACTGTCTGTTTTCAACTGCGAAATATAGGAAGCTTATTTATCCTTAATTTCAGAGTGCCTTGAAGCAAAGTGTCGAGGCATCAGTGGCAGCGAAACTTGGAGATAAATTGCAGAACGCGGTTGATAAGGTCATTAGCCGCATTTCTTTTATTAACTTCACTTCCAAAGTTTTCTTGATAATTACTGTACATTAAGAAATTGCTCAAAGAAATCTTTTCGCTGAGGAATGAGAAGCAGAACGACGTGGCGCCTGTCGCAACCAGAGCAACAATATTAGATGAGTGAGTTTACCACTGTCTGGTTCAAACATTTACTTATTTCCTTACTGATCTTATTTTTTTTAATGAGGTAAACTCGTTACCCTTCCAAAATATTAAATGGTGAGGTCAAAAGTATTTGCGTGCTCTTCTTTGGCCATTAAACAAATCGTTATAGTATGTAAAGCTTTTGTTGCTAACGAATTTGATATAGAAGTATGAATTCGTTCAGACAGAGATGGAAAAAAGATAATTGTGCATATTAATATTTTCGTTCCGAAAGAACGCGGACATTTCCGAATTCATTTATGGCAGGCTTGACATATGTAGGCTTTTTAATCTCCTTCTTTTTTCATGGTTACTGGGGTATCAGCTTGGAGGACGGTCACATGGATCCTGTTAGCCATTTGTATACTTCTCTCCATCGCACTTATCGCAATAATAATCTATCAGGTAGGAGTAGAACATATTTTCATCGCTATTCCATTGTCTCCTGCGCCCAACAGGTCTTCGATTTTTGTTTAATAGATCCATTACAGCAAAACGTACTGTAGAGGTAGTTAAGAATTCGAAAAAATTCTGCTGACCAGTGGTGCACATGTTGAAAAAATTCCTAGTAAGATAAAGACTAGTAGCTTGTAATGCATTTTATTACAAGTTTTTGCAGTAAAAACTCGATATATATAGTGCTACATTTTCAAGGTGTCGCAACGCAACAAGTACCAGTCCCTCGATGGTATCAACCATCTTGAAAAGAGTGCATCAATCGCAAAACATGTGATGCCCCAAAGGTGATTAAGATGAATCACAACAAAAACTATCGATTTCATAGATACAGAAATCTACTCGAATCCTTCAAATAGCTGTAAAAGACTTAATACAGAAATTACAGTCTATTTATTTTTCATTATTTCCAATACGTGAGCCATAAAAGATTTCACATTCAGGTACATGAATGAGAGAAAGACATCGATGCCACAAGCTTCGTCAGTTGCAACAGCTCCGTATGTTGAAGCAAAGCAGTTTTAACGAAAATTTTCAATTTGTAGAAGTATTCTCAGCGTATACAAGTCGTTGTTTCACTCGTCGCTTTCTGTGCAATTATCCTTTCACAATAAATCTTCTTTTCCCACTTGCTCCAGAATCTGATCAACCGGATTCATCTCGCCTAAGCTTCTTCTTGCAAGTGGTTCCTTGTTCAAATCAATCATTGAACCACAAAGAAGATGCACACCTACTATGGAACAATAGCCACTTTTCACTAGTTGTGTTGCGAATAATGACTCACGGTTTGATGAATTATTTGCCCGATCCCATTGGTTCTTCCTTTAAAATTAGGAATTGACTGTCAAGGACTTTAATGGAAAAACATCTTCGTGCAGTACAAACAAGTCATTTTGAGACAATTATACGTCTTTAAGGACAACTTTTATTCATGCACAACAAAAGCGAGATCAGTGATTCAAGCATAAAGTATAATCACGAGCAAGAACTTGTCAAAACAGCAACAGTCAAAACTGGTAGTGAACGGTGGTACTGTGAACGGTACTTTGTGGTCAATTAGGAAGATTTCTTAATGCGGATAAATGAAACGTGATTAAAGAACATAACCGCCGTTAATTGCCCGTGAAGAAGTTTTGCTAATGCTCAACTATCTCTGGATGCCAAGGAAATGTCGATGAGCACATATAACGGATCCTTTAGCTGGAGCTGAACACGAGCAGAAATCCTACTATTGCTGTCCATGAGTGCGTCGCAGTAACCAAAGAAACTTATAGAAGTAGCACTAGTGCTCACACGACATTGGAAGATGCGCCGTATTACCTGTCGAAGTGTGCAAATGCTTCATAGCAGGGTATCACATCATATCATATCGCATCATAACGTACCATAACATAGTGTGAGTCACTAATTGTTTGATATCATGGCACATTCTTTAGCAGAGAGGATACATTTCTTAATTATGCGTACTATTTAACGTGGTGCAAACATGAGCAAGCAACATATTAGACATATTATTGAAAGGGCGGCAAAGAACACATCAAAGATCGGGCAGAATTCCATCATAAACCAGGAGAACGGCTTTCTAAAAGTAGTTTCTTGTGGATGGGCTTTCAAATGTAACAGCATAGGTGCTTTACTAAGTACTCTAATTTCTAGCTTTTCTAAGCGAAATCACACTTTCGAATGTGACAAAGAACTCAATAAATATGTTTATGTGTTTCTTTCTACACGTTAATTTAAATTACTAAAAAGGATGGTGAGCTTCCACCTCTTCTTGCGCAATAGCAGAGATTTAAAATTTCGCATTAATTTTTAGTGCCTAACTGGTACTAGTGTTAGTGTATGATGAGTCTGTCCATAAGTTCGCAGTGGAACATGGGTCATTGGAGCCCACATAGAAGTTGATTTGATCCTTGAAAATTATGAGCAATCAAATTTTCGCTACTCCTGGATCAGTAACGCATTATTTCGTTTAGGAACCACGACACACATACTTGTTCAGCGGATGGAGATCGTTTATGGGCATACCACTAGTTTCTAGACGATATGCACATGGATCACCCCACACATCTCGTAGATGGCATATATAGGTGATAGTGAAAAGTAAATTACAGTAATTAAAGTCAGAAACTTCATTATTTTTAAACAAATCGCCATGGGAGCCTCATCTGCATGGAAGGCATGTGATTTTGAACTTATCACGTTTTTGCTTTTAAAAACGACAGTGCATACTTTTTTAGAAATGAATTCAGATGTCCTTTGTGAATAGCCACTGATCATATTTTATGACCACGCCTGGAGACGGCCAACCTTCTAGATTGAGCCCTGTTAGGCTTTTTTCTGTATGATAACAAATTTATCATAATTGATAGCTTTGCTATAATCACGTTGTGTTGACATCTTCCATTTCGAAAAATTCAGTCCTCGACAGAAAATATGGTTCACTTCAAACATTACCATGACACGAGCACAGTATACTTCCTGTGCAGAATGCTTATGGATGTACGATCATTTATGGATCTTTAACTTGATAAATTAAATTTCACGAGTATTCTACAGCTGTTGGTCCTTCAGTAGTTTTTTCAAAGTTCCTCAATTCATTAGAGACAGCCTAGTTTCATACATTTTGCAACGATTAAATTTATTAACGGTGAACGTAGTCCCTTCTGTTCCTTGTTTGTTTTAGGGTTGCTTCTTTTATTAGAAGTAGTGTTAGCAAAATGTAAACAAAACATGCAAAACATTTCATCTGTATTACTTAACTCTTACTACGTGAAACAACAGTGTTACTGGAATTTTGTTTCTTCATATGAGAAATAATTCAAGTAGTCGCGCGAGTGGTTCCACCAATTACTGGCATCACACTGCCATATGTTGAGTTTAAAAAACCGCCGTTGACGCAGTGGTCACACTTATGCAAAACTAGTGCACACATTCGGTGACTCACTTTCCTGGGTGCATGCTATGGCGTCGACGTTGTTGGTCATCGCATGCAGTTCTTTTCCACTTTCGTCTTTCCCGACCATTGCCGGGTTATTCAAACATCAGTTAAGGGAGGCTAGGTGCTGCGCGCAGTGTGTGAGCGCTTAGCGGCAAGTGCGTTGACCTTCCCGGTTTTCTCTTTGCTGATCATTTTGAACGAATGCCGTCCTTGAAGATTGACATGCCATTCTACTCCGTCAAACCATCGACCGTGGTTCTTGAAGCACACAACCAACCGAAAGCGCTCTTACATCGTGCCGTTAAACGACAGAATTGCAGACAAATAATGAGGCTAACAACGGTATCCTCGACGAGTGAACATTGGTAAGACACGATTTGTGAGTGTTAAATCTGTTCGTACGCAGCAATTTCAAGGTTGAAGTTTCCAATGAATACGGAGCGCATCTAAACATACCACTTCCTTGAGATTGGTATAGTTTTGGTAACTCTCAAAGTTACCGCACCGTTTCATTATGACGACGGAGCTATTTGCCAAAATGTTTGCAACACATCGTGCAATTCCGTTTGTTCATATCGGTTGAATTTCAACTATGCCATAATATTGCGAAAAAAAAGATTTTCATAATCAAATAGTTAAATGAGCACAGAAAAATTAAAGGCGCATTTTTTGGAAAAAAAAATCATTTTGCAGTGGCGCTACTGGCACATGCCATGGAGAATAACTCCGGTAGTCTGGAGAAATGTAATTATGGTAGTCGGAAAGTGTTTTACTACCTATCACATCTCTAAATTAGCTTTCATTGATTACCAACCAAAAAATTTAGACAAACATATAACTTTTGCAGACGAAAGGTTTTTCGTTAAAATTTTTGAAGGTTTAGAAACCTCGTGAACGATAGTAATTCTCTCCAAAGTCAAAGACGTAGAAAATACAGCATTTCATGATGTCAACATTACCTACGTATTTCTAAAATTTAAAGATTTAATAAAGCACGTCATAAATTAGGCCGTCCGTGTAGGGTGTAAATATGTAGTGTTGCTTGTAGAGGCTTGGTGGTTTTTGATCAGTGAAACGTTAGAGCGATTGTATCGCTGCTTTCTTTACGTTACACCGTATGCTATACACCCCTCAACGGCGGTAGAAATTCAACGTACTCTCCGTTTCAATACTCTAGACGGCCTTCGGTCTGAACGGCTTCTAGTAGTGAAAGTTTCGGGAACAATGTTTACATAAATGTCCAGGAAACGGTACTAATCTCAGGCTGCGTGTCATGCGACCTTGTGATGTCTCCTTTGACGGGACTTGAAGATTAAAGGGATGATAGCGGGAAATGTACTTTTTTATTACTATAGGACCGTTAATTAGTGGAATTAAAAAATCTTCGTCCATTGCAATTTGGTTGGCAGTTTGTAGTGCGAAATACCTTCTCAAAGATTGATTGCTTTAACGAAGCATTAATAAATTGTGGACACTCAAATTGAAATAAACTTCGGCTTTATTAGGTTTTTGATATAAGCAAATTTTGGATGCTTGGTGGTGGTGTTGATTAACTTAACTATTGCTCTTGAAATAAGCTACTTTTGTTTACCGTAGGTGATCTCGAAATATAAGGAGATAATTTTCGATGTTCTCACAAACCGTCGATAGGAAGAATTGCCTTTGTGAACTCCTATGGGTACTATACTATCTGATTATTGCCACACCCACATCGCCATATTCCGTTAAGAATTTGACAAATTGCCTTAAATATTTCTTAAAATGCCTGAGAAAAAGTGAAATTCTATTGATAAGTGGTTTTATTCAGCATTTGTAATAAGATGCCAACTTAGAGTTTAGAAGTTCACACAATAAGGCTTCAAAACTAACATAGGCCCCCCAATTGCACAAGTTTCTGCGGGCAGTTCACACGTCGGGCTTAGGGTTGTGTAGTAGAGCACAGTGCCAAACTTCACCACGGTCCTATTCGTAGCATTGAATAGAATTTTTTCACACGCAGGTAAGAGGTTTGTCAAGATCTAATCTGTATTAAAAAATTCTCAATGAACTAGATCGCTTATTGGCTTGTGAAAAGCTTTAAAACTTGTATGATATCACAAGCCCTATTTTTCCGTGTGTGTCAACTCTACAAGATGGAGTAAGCTTTTTGAACTTGTACTACTTGAATAAAAGCTGCTGTGTGAAAAATTTAACAGTTAAATTTTTTTGAGAAACCATTATTGCTGTTCGCGTAATATGATTTTACTTGAGAATTGCATCACAGTACTGCAACCTGTGATCAGACAAGTCAAGAGGCCAGTGAACGGTATTTTGTTAAGCTCGGAAATTAGAAAATCAATCACATCGAAGAAATTGAGTTTGAGAACAATATAGGTGCCGGCTAAATGAAATGACGACGATGACCATCTGACTTTGTTAAGTTGGGGGTCTAGTAGAACTGATAGAAACGACTGTGGTTTCATTTCGCCAGCATGAATTTGTTGTCATAAAATTTTCAAAAATTCCAGCACATGTGCCCAAACGTCAGGACTCAACCTGGTCTTCATATAAATCTAGAAAGCGCTACATCAAATGTGGCATAATTTAATCAACGATCTGATCCAAAGTGCGATTGAAATCAAACCCGACAGCGACTTCTGCTTTATCATGCAAACAGGTATGATCTGCACTCATTTGGTGCGACGAAGTAGATGTTCGCTAAGAATTTGATACATAGATTTACACCTGTATCTATCTGCCCACTGTAGAATGGTGTATATAGATGATTGAAGTGGAATGGATAACGATGTCCTTGACGTTGGCTAGGGTGTGCGTACCCCGTTTGCGCGAAAGCGGTTCATGGGTTGAGAATTCACATATCCGTTGCATTAAAATTGAATTGAACTTGACATTCTTCCCTGTGCTCGTAAAACGAGCAAACCTTTTAAAGATAGTCAAATAAGTGTGCTGTAGTTATGAGAAGTCTTATACATAGTGTTCTTTACTTATGAGAAGGCTCATACATAGTGTTCCATACTTGTGAGAGGGCTCATGCATACCTGCTTAGGTATACATACAAATGTAAAACTTTGTAAACGTTTACACATATGTTTATACATTTATACATACATGCATTTATGCACAGATACATCTATGGCCTTCCACTGCACAAAACCGAAGTCTCTGCAAGTTTAATAAATCAAGAGTAGTTGCTAAGGGTTGTGATGAAATGGGTCGACAATGAATACTGACTGATGTTGCTAAGTGCCTGACTGAAGAATCTTTCTCTTCGACATAAAATAAGTGATTTAGGAAATGATACCACCGCTTTGGTGAATCCTGTATACTCAAATATAGGTCGTCAATTCTTAAGTTGCAAAGATTAGCTCAAACGAATCATGAATCAACATGTCGTGTCCCGATCAGGCGGTACATTGGTGTTTTCTCTCAAACCATCGTCACTCCAATGTTTTGTTTTTCTAGTAATTTATAAGTGGAACACATTTTCGTTTTAATAGGTAGGACGTAGTCATGAACGCATACCAGCCACATACACTCATACATACAAGTACAAAGAGACATTGACTAGCTAATTCGTACACACACACACACACACACACACACACACACACAAAAAAACACACATATATAGACATACACACACACACTTCCATAAAATCACTAGCTTTAAAATTATGTTACTTTAATGCTAATAAGTGGAGAACACTTGAAAGTGGCAACTAAATATAAGAAATTTCAAGAAATAGTTTTTTGCAGTGTTTGATGTCCAAGAAAAAAACGAAAGCGAAAGAGAGAGAGAGGGTGAGAGAGAGAGAAGAAGACTAGGGATAGCTGTGTAAGTGCCGCAAAAAAAATCTCAGTCAGGATGCAAATTATGGATACGGATTTCGCGTTGGCGTTTTTGAGAAAACACTTACATAGTTGAGTGGCTGGCGTACTGTCACTGTCTGTTCAGGGTAAGATGGGAGACTTGGAATTTTCTTCTTTGGGTGAAAAAAAATTTAAGAGATTTCGTAAATTGATCTAAAAATTATATAATAAGACCACACAAACGCTATTATACTTCTTTGATATCGGACGACACGTGGATGATACGTTGCTTTTCACTCATCACCCACCTATCACAGTAGTTCTGCCGTAGTGAAACTAACTGATGAAAATATGATCTCTATATCATAAATAATGAGCAAGACAAATTCATAAAAAGAAGACGTCAGCACAAGACGTCTATAATTGGAATTTCCAGCGAACGGTGGTAATCGGAAAGAGTTCTGGAAACGAATGTGTTATGGTAAAATTTGAGGAGTCGACCATCGACAGGGATCAACGCGGCTCTGAAGAACACGAATATGTGAAAGTGTTATCCAAATCAGAAACATCTTCATAAACCTTGTATTAGCATAATGATCTGGGAAAGTATTTGAAGAGTTATACATTAATTAGCACTAGCCTGCTTAGAGACGCGAAACTCGTCGTCTAAGCGTCGACCTTGGCCCGACGCCTCGTCGAATCGCGCTCTATATCGGCGTGTTTCGCGACCAGCGCGCACTATTTCCTTGGCATCTTGCAGCGCAATCACCCGCCCTATTCCACTATAAAAGGCACCTCGCCTCAGGCAGATACAAGGTGGGTACAGCCATCCGACCCGACAACAACGGTAAGTCATCCCCCCTTGCGTTTCGTCAACTTCTCCAACGTCTCCAGAAATCTGGTTTTTTGAAGAGATCATATTATGCCTTTCAACTCTCGCTTTTATTATTTCATTAATGTTTTTCAGTCTATGAGTTTCTTAGGCTTCGTTAATATCTTGGTTTTTTCCATACAGTTGAATGTCTCTTGAATAATTCCATGTAATCTTTAAATTTTCGAACAAATTTACATCACATTTTGCATTCTCGTGTAATTTTAGATGAGCAGCGAAAAAGAGCTGGAGATCGAGGCTAACTCTCTTCGAAGAGTAGCCTTCTTCGGTGTTGCCATCTCCACTATGGCTACCTTAGTTTGTGTCATATCAGTGCCAATGTTGTACAACTACATGCAGCACATGCAGTCGGTAATGCAAAGTGAAGTCGATTTCTGCAAATCGCGCTCTGGCAACATCTGGCGAGAAGTCACTCGGACACAGGTTTTGCTCATTTTATGTTAAATTTTACCCTTTTTTTGTTCTTCAACGTTAGTTGTTACAAGAATATTTACATTTAGGTGCTAGCAAAAGTTTCTGGAGGAGCTTTGAGAAGTCGCCGCCAAGCTGGATACAGCAGCGCTGGTGTTGAAGGCGGCTTCGAGTCAGCTCCTAGCGGAGTATGTTGCGGCTGTGGTGTATCGCCTGCTGGACCACCTGGAGCTCCAGGACCGGACGGTGAGGATGGAGCTGATGGTCAACCCGGTGTACCTGGAAAGGACGGACCTGATGGACCACCACCTACTCCTGCTCCCGAACATGAATTCTGTTTCGACTGCCCTGAAGGTCCTATAGGACCTCCTGGAAATCCGGGACCAAAGGGACCTCCTGGTAATCCTGGGTCTGATGGACAGCCTGGAGCACCTGGACAAGCAGGAGCTCCTGGAGCTCAAGGCCCGCCTGGACCCCCTGGAAACGATGGACAACCAGGAAGTCCTGGCGCACCAGGAGCTCCTGGACAACTTCACGAAGTTCCTGGCCCGAACGGCCCACCCGGCCCACCAGGACCTCCAGGACCACCTGGACCAGATGGACAACCTGGAGTGGATGGACAACCTGGACAGCCAGGATCACAAGGACCTCCTGGAGATAATGGAGCAGCAGGAGCGCCTGGGCAGCCTGGAGCTAATGGAGAAAATGGGCCTGATGGAGAGACCGGATCAGCAGGCAAGTCAACGTTTGACACTTAACTCTTGACGCTTTATGTTCTGATTTCACAATGCTTTTGTGAATTGCAGGAGGATGCGACCACTGCCCACCACCACGTACCGCTCCAGGTTATTAGGCCGCGAGCACCAAAATCTACTCAGCATTTCGTGCCACAGAACCTCTTCATTATGCTTTGTTCGTTGAGCGGCTTATGTCATTCCGAACAAACGACGCTAAATAAACATTTTAATATGAGGTATTGCACACATTGGGTTAAAAAAATGTGAGAAAACGGACGATCAAAAAACGACCGTGATTCGTAGCGACTAGATTGTAAGCAACTATATGATAAAGGTACGGGCCTTTTCTAGCAGGTAAATGTAACCATACGAAAGATAGTAAAGTGAGAAAGCTTCATTTAGAGCTTCCATTAACACAACATTAATTACGTATTGTCCGTCTAGTATAACGGGAATTTACTAAATAGTTTACTAAATAGATCTTGAAATAGCTGTTGATTCGTAAGTAAAAGAAATATTTGCCTTTGTTCGCTTCTTCTCGAGCAATTCTACCGCTCTTTTTCGTTGTGCACTCCAATTCGAACATTTAAACGGAGAGGGGTGGAGGGTTGGGTGGAAGGTGTATAGCAAAATGTGAACCGGTTTTGGCAATATCATTCGTCAGACCATTTTTCGCATCAGAAATGAGATGCTTTTTCGAAATGTGAAAGAGAGAAAAGCTGCTACAGCTTGCCAGTTTTCAATTGAGATTCCAAGGGAAAAAAATTCCTAAGGACTCACGCCATGCTTAAAACTTCTTTGAAAAAATTCATTATATCCTCTACATAGTTAGTTACATAATTTTTGGCACCGCTAATTAAAAGCATGCTATTTTAAGGATAGAACGATACGAATTTTACTGAATGTTTTACAATTTGTGTTATATTAGGAATTTCATTCTTTCATATCCGTGTTATCTATGAAAACTCAATCATCAGATTTTTAATGCAGGGCAACATGTTATAAGGATAGAAAAACACTTTATAGGAAATGAAAGCTTTTGGCAATTTCATGTAGAACTTGTTCACTAATCATTAACTACTAGAAGTCGGCAGTTTATCATGTTTGTTTTTAGATCTTTAAACGAAATTTAACTTTGCACCCTCAAGTAACGGAGTATGTCGCGGTTTTTTTTCTAATATATTCCCCACGAAGACGTTTGGCTTTTCACCATTCTTCGGAACAACATTCCACTTTGAAGCTGCTGTAATAAATATAGAGTCATTTACGTAAACACACAAACAAACCTACACACATACCCACGCACACACAAACACTGAGGCACAAACATACACACACATATATATATATATACTTACATTCACAAACACGTGCATATATACAGACATACATGCGTACATGCATACACACATACATACATACAAAAAAATATGTGCATAGATGCATATATGTATGCGTGTATACAAATGCATATTTATTCCCATATGGAGTTAAATAAACGCATTCACTAGCACAAAGATGTGACATATAGCTTGCTACGATCGCACAAACGACGTTCCTTTTATTGAGTCAATCAACCGACCACGTTCCACGCTTAAAGGCTGTGCAATGTTCTATGAAGAGACTGGAAGCAGTTCGGCTTCAATCACGTTTGTGACAGTGAATCATTGCTAGCTGTCGTCCTTCTTTCGTTTAGGGTGGTTTATGGGAAAGTGCTTGTATTCTCATGGATTTGCACCAATGACACCCTTATAGCAAAAGGTTGCTATGCCAGGGAAACTCTAAAACACGCACACGTAGACCCTTCTTAATGAACTTAGCAAGATGAAAAGATACTACAGTTCAGGAACATTCTGCTTTGTAATAGAAACCATATAAGTAGTTAGTATCAGGTTTATAAAGAATGATGACTGAAAGGGCAAGGTTTAGTGAAGCTACAATCGAACGATTGAACAACTTGCTTTGTCTTAAGAACAGCAAAGTATTATATGAGGAATCACTGACATACTGAAGAGAGGCAATAACATGAGAAATCAGGGTGAACATAAACCTCACAATTGAGATGTAGATATTGTTTAAAAGTGAAACTTTCTCCAGTGAAAATCACTAGAGAAACATTCAGTTTGCGAACAACGACAAAGTCGCCTGCATTTGAGGCTTGTTATTGCTTGAATCACGCCTCGCTGAAGTTAGTATGATCAGATTTCCAAAAAGAATTTTAAACAAATTTCATCAAGATCTTTAAATTGACCTAGACTGGAGAGGAGAAAACTCAATAGCACTTATTCCGCAGAAGCTTAAACAGAAGCGTGAGCTTTACAGAAGGTCAATTCTAACAATTACCACTCTGAATCAACGAAAGAACGAAATATTCTGCATCTTTATGTTTCTTATTAAGTATATTTTCTAGGGCACAAGTAGAAGGATTAAAAGTGAATTTTACTTTATCAAAAACTTAGGATATTGTGCTATAACTTCACGATCACGAAGATACAAATACTGTCGTGAATATAACACTGCGGAGTGGTGTTAGCTGTATTTATAAAACCGACCAAGAAAAACGTTGCCCAAAATTTTTTCGCGGCAATAATTTGTACTAGGCTTATCCGTGAAGCCAACCATACTGCTCTGCGATTAACTTTCTGACTACCTGAATGTGGCATGGCATACCGTGTTCAAGATTTCAAGAAAAATTTATTTAACCAGCATTTAAGAACATTCATAAAAAAGATTGAAACCACAATCAGCATGTTAACCTACAGGCAAATCTTATGACCTTCGTGGATGATGGATGCGAGGAAACGGGTCGAATGAAAGAAGTGATGAGATGGGTCTAAAGTATGACTCCGGATTATCTAAATAAGACAAAAATACGATGACATAAAATCGCCATCAAAGAGTGCTTGTTAAATCGCTGTGAAAAACAGGATGAAAATAGAATAAAAAAATACAACATTAAGCCGACTTCCTTACTACACTTTGCTCAACAATGAAAGTCGTCAAGAATTTTATCATTCCTGGCAGAACTCTGGTTACAATACGTCAAGTAATACAACCTCAGAAGACTTATTGACTACCTGTGATGGTTATTTGGAGGCACTTTGGAATGGTAAATTTAAGAATCCACAGAAAAAGAACTGTCCAAGCAAAGGAATTCTAGACAAGTGGAAGTGCTTCTCCGCAAAGTTCATGAAGCCGACGTAGTAAGTTGTATTGCATTGAGATTAATTTAACCTTTTCAAAACAAGATTAGCAACCGTTAAAAGCTATTTGCCATTGTCTTGTAAAAACAGCGAAAAAAACATCTAATCTTGTCCTTCATTTACATGGATATGTTCGGTTTTGTTGTTTTAAAAACACGTCAGACAAATTGTGATGCACGATTACAACATGTGATGTGGTTAGCATCTCTTTTGGTTCCAAGATTCCGTCTATTGTAGATTGGTTTTTTAGTGGTCAAAAATTTCGAGAAAGCAGATTTTTTATTCAAATGATCGGGTTGTTCTCAATGGTCTGTTCTCTCTGTAGACGTTTGGTAGTGAACTCACGATGAGCTCGTAAAGCAGTTGAGAAGAATACTGTGCCGACGAGAATCTGGAAATGAAATTGGAATTATGCAATTCGTAAATAAGCTGGTGTCGAAAAAACTTGCGGCTTCCTACGGAATAGAAACTGTATTTAGGTATGAGACTGAATTCGTGGGCAAACGCAGTTCATAGGCTGTTTTTTAACTATCTTTTACTAACTACATCTCATTTGATAAATACATTTTCGTTGCAAGTATTTTCCCTAGTAAAAATTGTGAGTTTTCTAACTTGGGTAATACAATATATTCTTCGTGCGCTTGGTAAAAGTACGGCCGTCTTTTAATTTGTTTTGCTGAAGCTTGTTTTTCTGAATTCTTCAGCTGAAAGAGATGACATTTTGAGGGCAGATAACTGTTGCGTTTTTAGTTAGCTGGCTAATCGGTTTTTTATGCTGTTCAGCCGTGTTCATGTAATGGATATAACAGTGACTGCAATGGATACTAAGAAAAACAAAAACTATTCTTGAAACGCCATAAACCTCATAGTTTTCTATGCTGTTTCGTTCTTTTGAACTGAATAAAGAAAAGCCTCTACCAGCGAAAAAGTGATACAAATGGATCGACGAATACCACTGCATTGATCTTAACAATATTTTATAAACCAACTTTCATTTCACCGTAGTATGATTAGGCAAAACTTTTTTAGAAGACTATGGAACCCGTAATTTTCATAAAAAGTTTATTCACCTAACGTTTCTACGTCTTCCTCTTCTTCAGAACCACGATTATCCAAATCGATGGCCCACAGTTTCTCGTCTTCGCGGCTTCTCCGTCATCGGAACGGCTGTGAATTAACGACTCGGATCACTACCGCTCTGAAGAAGACGACGACGTCGGAACGTTAGCCGAATATGCTTTTTCTGACAACCTCACGTTACCTAATCATGTGAAAAACACTGACTATAGAACATAGTATACAGTTCAATTTTCTATACTCTTTTATGTTACGACTCACCATTATTGGTAGGTACCACCTTGTTGTGGCTAGGTTGTTCTTGAATGTCGGACCGCGATCTATAGCGAGAAGTTTACCTCCTAAAAGAGTATTCCAGACCTGAGAAGAAGTTCGACGTTTCGTTCCGGGAGCCTTGCTATGAGTGCACTAACGCAGCGCACTAGTCTCCACTGTTCTAGATAAAATTATTTGGGAAATTGGCGAATTTTCCTCCGATCCAAAAGAGCCGGCGACTACTTGCGGCAACAGTGTGAATGAAGCCCAGTCAACATCAGAAATCTATCGAGCCATAAATGCTTCAAGTACTAGTAAACCGTCTTTGGATCTCTGAATACAAGGCGCTGTTGTCTAAAAGCAGAGCGATAGCATCAGAAACCGCTTTTGGTCTCTTGTAGAAAGCACCACCCAATAATCGGACCCAATACTCCATGCTGAGTTTCTGAACTCAGCAGTTGTCTCAGTGCCTCGTTGTTCAGCAGAACCCTGGCCTCATGGTTGAGCAACGGCAAAAGCTCTACTCACTGCACAAATAGCGCTTGAATGGTGTTTTCCGAAATAAAGCTGTCATTCACAAC